CTGCCTCCACTTCCTCTCTGGCAGAGCACACAGCTTAGCACGTGCAATCAAGGCCAAAGCTCTGCAATGGGGAATGGTGCATTGTGGGGCTGATCTGCGTTTTCCTTTAGCAGTGTGGCAGGAGGGGAAAGGCCATGGGGTGTCTGGCCAAGCAGCACAGCGAGATTCCCTGTCTGGGCCCCCTGGAAGCTGGAGGCATCTTGCTTAAGTCAGGAAAAAATGTTCCCCGTCATTTGTCATCTGGCCTCAAGTCCTTGAAGGGCCTCTTTGGTGCAAGTGCAGCCAGTGATACGGAGAGAGCCCGTCCCGTGGGGTCAGCTCACCTTTCTCTGAACATGCCCCACATGAATGTTTAATGTGGCAGTGAAGAAACTTTCACAACTAGACACTTTTCTAAATAAAGGCAGGATACCTCTGTTAGTCATGAAGAAAACATAACAAGAAGGCAGCATCTAGTTACCTTTGTACAGGGTTATCTTGCCTTCCACTTCCTTCCTTGGTGCCAAAACATCTGCCTGCAGGATTTCTGATGTTCTTGGTAAAGGCTTGCTTGATATTTTTGACCTTCTGATGTCTTTTTGATAGAATACTAAGTCACTGACCCATGTTTTTTAATCAGGAAATATACTTATTTCACATACATGGAGAATTTTCTTCCTGTATTACCCTTTCGTGTCAATCTGCCCCAATGGCTGCTTTGTGAAGACTGAGAAAGCCAAGATGATGAATAAATCGGATACCATTTCCCCCCTCTGTATTTTACAATTGTATGGTTGCATTTCACTCAACCCCGTCCCCTTTCTCCTTTCAGGCTTTGGACTCCAGCAGGTGCCTACAAAAGCAGGTAGGACTCGTTCTGCCGATCACTGACTGACATTCAAGACACTTTCAGGCGTGCAGAGTCTGTCTACATTCAGAAAGGATCCTGCTTGGTTTTACTTGCTGCAGAAATCAGTTGCGTGGTGCGGATAATGGTGCTGATTGTTTCTGAGGGGCCATCTCTTCCCACCCACTGACTGGGTCCACGCAACAGAGCAACCCATTGTGGCTTACGATAAGCCAGGCTGGGTTACCATGTTGTGCATGCTTGTTTGGCTTACAAGCTGCCCCGACATCCCACTGCTTACTGTGCATTCTGTTTGAGACCCAGTGCTTCTTGTGCCATCTTAATCCAGCCTGCTGCAGCTTGAGCTACTTGTAAGAAGTGGTTGGCTGGAGTGGCAAAACCCCCTTGCTGCCCCTGCCATTACAATGCCTCTGTAACAGCACATCCAAAAAAGAAAAAAAGTAGTTTTTAAAATGATTTTGCAATCAGTTGTGAAAATCGCTGGTGTTCTCATGTGCTGTAAAATCATCTTTGACTTATGGAGATGGTATAAAGGAATGTCTCCCGAAGGACCCTTTCCTTCAGAGACCTGCTCAGCTCCTCTAACTCAAGGCCGTGGCTTCCTTTGCATCTGTCTCATATTTTGTCTTCCTCTTCCTCTTCTTCTTCCTCTTCGTCTTCCCCTCCTCCTCCCCCTCAGTTCGACTTTCCCTGGTATGAGTGTCTTCTCCAATGGGCCTTGTCTTCCCACGATGTGCTCAAAGTATGCCAGCCTCAGATTCATCTCTTTTGCTCCAGGGCTTGTTCTGGCTTGATTAGAGTTAGACCCACTTCTTTGTCCTTCTGTCAGTCCAGGCTATCTGCAAAGCTTTCTTCCAGCATCATGTTGCAAGCACATCTTTTTTATTTCTGCCAGCTTTCTTCACTGCCCAGCTTTCACTCCCATACATAGTGTCGGGAATACAACAGAGTAGACGATCTTGGCCTTCATCTCCCATGAAACGGTCTTGCGTGCGAGTGCTGGGGCTGCATTGCGGAGTGCAGCCAGTTCATTCTGTAGACACGATACCTTGCTGATGTTGCTACTCATGATGGTCTGGGTCGGAGTGCAAAGTGGCTTCAACAAACATTCAGCATCCGGGGTATGTGCGGCTGACTACCAGACCAGGGTACCAGGACCTAGGCAAACAGAATGGGGCATAAGGACCAGTCCAAGTTGCCATCAGACAAACCAAAGGGCAGAGCTAGTCCGGGAAGCAACCATGCTCAAAACAGGTCAGAGTCAGGAGCTGAAGCGACAGTGCCAAGGGATGCAGGCACCTGGGTTTGGAGCAGGGAACGGAGCAGGCGAGGAGCAGGAAGCCAGGCAGGGTCCAGGAGCAGCAGCAGGGTCATGAGCAGGGCCCAGAAGTGGGGGCAGGATGATGGAGAGAGTTCTAGGAGCAATCCAGGAGGTCAGCCACAAGAGCACTTGAACAACTTACAGGATCTTCATTGTTGAGGCGGCTTCTGGAGGGCAGAGCCAGTTCTTAAATAGCTCTTCCCTCAGGGCTCCCAGGTGGCTGCAGGAGACTGAGGGCCTAGTCCTGCAACTACCAGGGCTGTTATTCTGATGCTTGGCCAGAAGGTAGAACCCCGAAGCTGCCTCAGATCCTGACACACTGGAGAGATTATTCTCTGCTGACGGACCGTTCCCCTGAAGCAGGTGGGTGCCTCCAGTCTGGTGCTTCTGCTCTGAGCCTGGCTGACCCTGCTAGGAGGGCAGCCTCGTGGGAGGGTCACATTTGGACTTTGGGGAATTGGGATTGGGTGCGGTTGAGAGCCATGTCAGCTGTTGAGTGAGCTAAGTAGAAGGTAGAAGCAGAGTTTGAGTCACCGAACACAAATTGCCCCCGTGAAGCCAGAGTTTTCTGCCCCATTTCATGGGAGGCAAACCATTCTGTCTCTCTGGGATCACATCCACAAAGACCCAAATGAAGAACGAGGAGAAAGAAGTCTCCTACACCAGAGCAGGAAGGGGGAAATAGGACACTTGCCTGCCCTGCCATTTCCCTTCCCACCCAATTTTCCCGAGTTATTTCATTGTACCCCCTCTGAATGAGTGCATGGTTTTTCTTTTCCTGCCTGTCTTATTGCAGGGCGCTTTCTCTCTTTTCCTCCAGTCCTTCTGCTTCCTGCCTCACTGATGACCTGGGCCTGGTGAACCCCATGGAGCTGGAGGGGAAGCGAGGGAGACCGAGGGCCTCCTCACAGCCTCTTGCAAGACAGGGGCGGGGGGGGGGGGAAAGAGGGAGAGGCTGTGTGGGTGCTGGGGGGGCCCTCACGGGGGGCTGCACACTGCAGGAGCCCCCCTGGAAACACAGGCACATATATTAAGTGCTGCAAGTGCACGTCCAGAGTGTTTCCGGGTTGGAAAGTCAAAGTACTGAATTATTTTCTGTGAAATATTTAATCAAAAATGAATGTTTTGTTATGCAGATTGGGTCTCCAAGATTTCTAATTCTCTGTGTGCTTTCTTTAGATTACAGAAGCCACATTCAAAGAAAATTTCAAACCATGAAAGATGCTAATTCTTGCCCTGGGCAGACTGTACTCCTCAAGAAGAGATATTCAGAGCTAATCATCATTGATTGTGATTGGTCCAAAAAAGAGAGAGCTCACAAAATCAAGTCCACAGGTCAGAAACATGCTGAACTCATGGAAAGGAGAGCCAAATCTTCTACCACTGTTGAAATGCTATTTAAACCTGACAAACATGGACAGATTCCAGAAGTTGTTGTTCTGCTGGGACCTGCAGGAATTGGAAAAACTATGACCGCAAGAAAAATCATGCTTGACTGGGCCTCCGGACAGCTTTATCAGGACATGTTTGATTATGTTTTCTATATTCACTGTAGAGAGATGAACCTGTGTACAGAGGAGAGGAGTATGGTGGAAATAATTCTGAAGCAATGGCCCAATGAGCATGCACTTAAAAATGTAGCTCAAGAGCTACTTACGGAGATATTCCGGAATCCAAAGAAAATCCTCTTCCTTATTGATGGGTTTGATGAATTAAGTTTATTCATGGATCTCCCAGAAGGTCAGCTTTGGAGTGATCCTTGGAAGAAGCAACAAGTTGGAATCCTCCTCAGCAGTTTATTTCAGAAAAAGGTACTTTTTGACTGTTATATGATCATCACAACTAGGCCAACAGCCCTAATGAAAATCGATCGGTTTTTGCAGTATTCACGTTATGTTGAAATCCTGGGATTTTCCGAAAAGGACAGGGAGGAATATTTCCACAAATTCTTTCAGAATGACGACCAAGCGAAGCAAGCATTGAGACACGTAAAACACAATGGGGCACTCTTCACAATGTGCTCAGTTCCCCTTGTTTGCTGGATCATGTGCACAGTGCTGCAGCAACAGCTGGAAAGAGGTAAAGAGCTTGGGCAGACATGGAGTACACTCGCTGTAGTCTATATGCTGTACCTCAAGTTCCACCAAAGGCAACGAAAGCAAGAAATCCTACGAATCATAAACGGCATGTGTGCTTTGGCTGCTGATGGAATCAGGAGACAGGAAATACTGTTCTGTGAAGACATGATCAGGAAGCATGGCTTGAATAAGGAAGACTCCCTCTCCCTCTTTCTAAATGAGGATATTTTCAAAGAGGGCATTGAATGCGTTTGTGCTTACAGCTTCATTCACTTAAGCTTCCAGGAGTTTTTGGCTGCTTTACATTATGTCCGGGCCCAATTCACGGTGTTGGTGATGACCTATAAAGCCCTAAACGGCTTGGGTCGTGGTTACTTGAAGAAGCGCGTACATCCATATATGCCCAGCCGCCCCCTGAGATCGGCGGAAGAGGCCCTTCTCCGGGAGCCCTCCTTGAAAGAAATTAGGAGGATGGTTATTTGGAGGAGGGCTTTCTCAAGGGTGGTGCCTAAGTTATGGAATGCGCTCCCCAGAGAGGTCCGCCTGGCACCGTCGTTATTTGTTTTTCAGTGCCAGCTGAAGACCTTTTTATTTAAGCAGCATTTTAAATGTTAATATTATTAAATTTTATCTGGCCAGGGCGGCTTATTTTATATTGTATATTTGTATTTTATTTTAATGTATATATTTTAATGATCTAACTTGTTGTAAGCCACCCCGAGGCTTCGGCGAATGGGGCGGCATAAAAATGTTTTAATAAATAAATAAAATAATATGTACAAGATGTAGGAATAATGCACATGCTTAAAAGGTCCAAAGATGTGATGACACTGCTAGAAAGCTACAGCAGTTCAAGACCTGATTTACAAGTAACAGTGTGCTTCCTCTTTGGTCTTATAAATGAAGAGAGAATGAGAGGCTTAAAGGAAATGTTTGGATGGACTATTTCATTTGCGATTAAAAAATTCTTACTGGAATGGGTGAAAATATTAACTCCTACTATCTTTCAAATTTACTTAACTTGGGAAAGATCATCACTCTTTCAGTTTTTGTATGAGACCCAGGATGAAAATTTTGTAAAGCATGCATTGCAGGATAGGACTATACTATTAGTCAGAGCTTCATCACTTATGGAACCAATAACCACCGTGTATTGTTTAGAACACTCCTTTAGATTGAAGCATCTTGGGATACAGTATGATTCTGAGAATAAAGATGAAAATGAAATAGATGGGTAAGTATCATTTGAATTCTAAAAAGTTGCAGTTCCATTTCTGTTTTTCTTTTCTGACTTTAGGTAAGGAATTGTAGGATGTTCTAATGTAAGCATAGCAGAATCAAACAATATTAGTACAACAGATGTGAGCAGTAAAGAGCAGTACTGGAAACAATCACAGCAGGAATGAAAAATACACCAGTGGCTAAAAGAAAAACCTGGTAAAAGGCGATTGTTTCCTGCTACTGAAAAGGCAATTGCGCAGGTATGAGGGAGGCCTCTGAGTAGAGCCTTCCCTGAGTCGCGTATCATAACCAGACTCCTGGCACCTCAGCTGGCAGCGGCACCGAAGGAGAGCCTTGGCAGGAACTCCTGGTGTGGAGGTTGATGTGGGCAAAAGTGCTTCCTCGGGTGTTCAGGTCCCAGGATATGCAGGGGGGGACACAAGTACTGTGGACTGTGCTCCGAAACCGACACTTGGCCAGTAAGCTCTTGAACATGGCCCTCCCTTACTGCGCATGGTTGTGATCAGTGGAAAGCATAACGGGCCCCTGTTCACGAAGGGAACACTTCAGTGCAATCACCAAAGGCTGAATTCAGTGTTCCCTCAGGTCCTCTCTATATCCAGGAATTTACTGAAGTAGCTGAAAGGATCGATCTGTTATACTTCATCATGTTTTAACTCTAGACAGCTGTTCATTAATAACAGAAGATTGCACAGTTCTAGTGTCTAGAAGAATCTGAGTGACCTGAAGCTGCGCCCAAGGACTAAAATTTCAACAGCTGCCTGGGCCCCAAGGACTACCATGGTAGAAAACTGGAATTCCCACCCATTCATTAACCAGCCTGAGAGAAGGGTCTTCACTGAATCACCAGTCTGTACAGTGTTTGCAGCTGGATTCCGGTGGAGCTGTCTCTCCTCCAGTGCCCTCTCCTGTCCACAGGGATGACATCAAATGCTTGATTTCTGTCATGGATGTAAGTGGCCCTTCAGGGAGGTCATTCGGAAGGCCTGATGTTTTTTCTCAAGATGGCATCGAAGCATTTTCTCAAGTTGGCATCGAAGTCAGGCTTTCCAAATGATCTTCATGAATGGCGGCCTGCCTCCATGGCAGAGATCTATATGGTTGCAGTGTGAGGTCCAGTCTGTAGCCCTTACCAGGAAGGGACACTACAAAATCCTCCCGTCATTATTTCTTCACTCCAATGCATTTCATACATTTGTCTGAAAATGCAGACTTTGCTGTGTACTGCATCGTTTATATTCCAAGGTGTGGGGAAATGTTCAGCCCAAGGGTCACATGGGCTGCAGCCCCACTGACATGGAACCCTTAACGTGATTGACCCCCACACCCCTCACTCCATTTGGACACCCACTTGTTTATGACAAGGACCAGTTAAATGCCTTTCCTCAGCTTGCTCTCCATGTTATCCTCCTTGCCCTCTTGGTTGATGAACTGAAGGATGAGTGCAAGTTGCAATGAACAATTTAGCGTCCTGTTGAATGGATCAAATAGGACCCATGGGCAGATTTGGGAATGTGAAGAACTGCTGGGTGCACCATCACAAAATGGCCCCCATGGAGGATGCACTGGACATGTAGCGGCTGCTGTGGGGACCTGGCTTGTCAGAAGGAAGCAAGAGATGTGGAAGGGGGAGAGAAGCAGAGAGGCTGGAGACTGGGAGGACGTGGAACTACCAAAGCAAAAGTGTGGGTGGGAGAGAAAGAGCAGGGCCAGAGCTTAGGAAGGGAAGGCAGGCGGGCTGCCCCAACATTTCCTCAAGTTGTTCATTTCACAACAGTTGCTTTGAGTGGGCTGGGATTGGGAGGCCCCTGAGGGTGCCATGAAGACCACAGGCACCATGTTCGTCACTGCAGGGACAGGCAATCCCTTAGGAAGTGCAGGTGCAGTTTGCCTGCTAAGATCCAGAGCCCTCATGCACTTCCCTGACTGAATCAGGGGGGTGGCAGCAAGAAAAGCTCCCCCAGAAGCCCCTGGCTTAGAGTGGAGGGATGCAGTGATGCAACCTGTGGTGTCACAGGCTTGCCCGCCGCAAATGGCAGAAAGGGGGATGCTCTTCACAAAGATTTTCCCTTCTGGTTGCTTGTTGCTCTTCCTAGAGCAGCCCTTTGTGGAGTCCCGCTCACTCCGTGTCCTCTGCATTCCTTCAAGCAACCTTTTGGCCATTTATTTTTCAAAAGATTTATTTTGTATTCTGTGCATTTTTAACAAAGGGCAAGGGAGAATAGCAGTAGCATAATTCATGCTGGTGATGCAGGTTTGCATTCCATAATATATAGAAGTATAGTAAAAGAACTGGAAATTGGTCAAAGACTGACAGAAAATTTCTTCATCTTTAGTGAAAGGCTAATTCTGGAGAGAGAAACTGTGGACCGGCTCTTCAAAGCAGTGCAGCCTCTAAGAAGTAATTTCAAGGATCTAATGTAAGAAATTGCTTGCATTTCAATTGTATGTCTTTGGCATTGCAGCAGCTTTTTTTGACCAGATAACTGTATGTAAACTCTCTTCCAAAAGTCAGTTAACACTAGATATCTGTACCTTTTTTCCTTTTGACTTGCTGGACAGATAAGTAGAGAATCTTTTCATGTATGTTTTATTTTACAAAACAAAAACAATTAAACAACACCATAAAAAAGACAGAAAAACAATATTTGAACAATATTTACGAAAAGAAAAATACCCATAGCATGAGGTACATTTATATCAAGTATCCCTATTTGCCAGTATATAACAGAATGTAGTATCCCTACAAACAGTGATTATATGTATACTTTAACAACAGCACCACAACAGCACCACAGATACCCATATAAATATCTGTTTGTAAGTTATGCCTAAAGACGTTTCCAAATGCTGAAATTTTCATTAAATCCTCACCCATTCTGTTATTCCCAGTGCCAGTTTATCCACTGGTATGCAATGCTGTAATATTTATCGATTCATATTAGTCTTTTAGCTGTGCAGATGGCACGGAAAATCCATTCACATGGGCCTTGCATTAGATTCCAAGAGATGGGAAAGTATCTCAGAGGAACACAGAATCATAGAATCAGTGGTGTAGCGGCAAATATAGAAATGGGGGGTCCCTTCATGACAACCAAAGCCATACCCCCATCAAAGCCACATCCCTGAAGTTGCACTGCTTTCCAAGGTTATTCAACCTATGGATATACAATAAAAATGAACTGTGTCACCCTGGGATAATCGAGGAGAGATCCTGTTCTTCCTCTTTGTGACAGCCTTTCAAGTATTAGGAGAGTGCTATCATCTCTCCCCTCAGTCTTCTGTTCTCAAGGCTGTGCAGTTCTTTCATTCTCTCCTAGAGCTCTGTTTCCAGTTCCCAGATCATCCTTGCTGCCCTCCTCTGAGCCCATTCCAGCTTGTTTGCATCTTTCTTCAACTGTGGTGCCCAGAACTGGACACAGTACTCCAGATGGGGCCTAAACAATGCTGAGTAAAGGGGAACTAGTCCTCCATGGGATTTGGAAGTGATAACCCTATTAATCCAGTCTACAATAGCATTTGTCCCCTTTGGAGCCACATCAGACTCTTGACTCATATTCAGCCTGTGATCTACAGCAATTCCAAGATCCTTCCCACTTGTGGTATTGTTGAGCCAAGCATTCCCCATCTTGTAACAATGAATTTGCCTTCTTTTTCCTAATCAGGTGAATCTGGCAGGATTTGTTCTTGAGAAATCTATGTTGGAAAACAATCACTAGTTTTCAAGGTGCTTGCAGACTGCCTGCTTTATTATCTGCTCCAGAATTTTCCCAGGGATTGATCTGTATACTTAAATTTTAATGAGCTTTTCCATTACAAAACACAAACTTATCCAGATTATTACTTCCTTCCAAAAGGGAGTTGCATTTGGCATTGCTAAAAGATACAGAGAAGCAAAGTGTTAGCAGCATTACATGTCCAAGAATAGGCCAAAATAATTAATTAGATGTTGTGGCATCCAGTATACTTTAAAAATTATTTTTAATTTAATTTATTGCAGAATTAAGCATACCCTAAGATCTATGATTCCCTATGAAACAGACTGATGAAACAGATAATAATGCAACACTCAATTGGTTAGGCAAAATGGGCTGTGCTGTGTGCTGTGTCTATTCACTGATATCAAATATTTAAAAACACAGATGGAAGGGTAATGCATTTTTTCAACTTTGGTGCATCCTTCCCATAACACAGGCAGCCCAGAAACCGTGAAAGTTGCAGGACCAAACCGACAAATGTAAGAAATTATGCAAATATATGAAATATATGCCTGAATATTGTCTTGCTGATCGAGTGCAGCAGCACAAAGAGTGTTGGAGCTGGCGTGGAAGAGGGACACTGCTTGGCGAGCGTCCTACACATGCTGAGCATGCTGGCTGGGAACTGAGACTCAAGCGGCCTGGAGCCTGAGCAGCCAAGCCCAGGGAATCCCACCCCCCAAACAGTTCCTCATGCACCCCTACGCTCACAGCCCCTCTTCTCCCATCACCTTATTCTGATTCATCCCCCACCCCTGGCAGCCGCCTGAGGGTCCTGCTTCCTCTGGGAAAGTGTGGTGTGCCCAGGGGTTTCGCTGCATAAGGCATCTGAGCTGCCGCTTTACTGAGGCTGCTTCTTCCATTTTCTGCAAGGGGTGGGGGTGTGGTGGGATCCGTCCTTGACATCCTCCCCCGCCCCCGCGTAGTTCTCTGCCTTTCTATGCATTCTAGTGATCGACCACAAGGTGGTGCTGTCGGATAGCATCAGTGCCCTGCAGTTGTGACTTTTCTGGAAGCTTCTGTTCCGGTTTGAAATTTAATGGCAGGCCTTTCTCATTCTAAAGCCCCTTAAAATGGCCGAGAAACCTGGGGAAGGCCCTTGAGGATGACAGGGATGTGAAAAGGCCCCACAGACTTCCATGAGGGAGGGATCCTGAGTGCTCAGTAAATGCCTTGTGCAGAGAAGCCCTAACTGCTGAATTGCCATATATAGAAAAAGCGTGGTGACACAGTGCTTAGGGTTATTTGGAATAAATGCAACCTAGAGCCAATTTGGAATAAATGCAACCTAGAGCTCCGATCAACTTTATTTGTGCATCTATGCTCAGTGTTAAAGAAAAATAACACTAGTGTTACAGGGTATGAAAGCAAGTTAGAGCCACTTCAGAAGTTCATTGCAGTGAAGAAGACATTTGAACAGTAATGACTTACATGTAGCCCCCACTCTCAAGAAGGGAGTGTGAGCACAAAGAAGCAAAAGAACAGGAGATGTGGTGACCTTGCCTCTGAGAGAAAGGCAGATGTTGCCAGTTGCAGAGAGGAGGAGGAAGAGGAGCAGGTCAGAGAAAGCAACCAGTCAAGTTACAGGGCGTGTGGGCTAGACAAGGAGCTGCTGCTGCCACACATTCCCTCTTGTCCAAGTGCCTGGGAGCATGCGGAGTGGCTGTTATCCAACCAAGACTGCTCTCTCCCCTTTCTCCTCCTCTGCATAGTAATAAATCTCAAATGCATCTCTTGCAATTCAGCTATTCAAAGTGATGCAACAAGTTTGGCAATGGTGGAAGGTGCTGGGCCTAACTGCAGGAGGCCATGTGGCCACACTTCCTCTTAGGTGAGATTTAGTCTGTTTGTTCCCTCAACTTGGCCTAAGTGATTAACCGCCTGCGGTCTAACCATCTACACTGACCACAGTTCTTAATTACACTAAGTTCCCCAGTATACCAGTGAGCTTCTTGGACCTGCTCAGGGGAAGGGGCAATCTAGTCATGTGCCTCTCCCAAGTCTGTATACTATAGCGTGACCAGGACTTCAACAGGAATGGCGGCTAAGCCTTCAGGAAAGTCCCCAAGGATTCTCAGGCACCCATTCATTTGCACAAGCTGCATTCATCCCTATCTCTACAAAGGAATGGAGCTGGAGAAATTTAGCAGAGCTTCCATCCTCCCCTCACCCCCTGCAGGGGCTATGTAAGGTTTTGTTGTGGGCCAGGCACAACTTCCCAATGAAAGCAATCACTCCAGCAGATGCTACAAACGTCTTTATTCGGAACAGCTACAAAAGGATCTTGAAACCAAAAGCTAGAAAGTATTCACCATTGCTAACATACACAGTATCGAAAGCTGACCTCTCGCTCTGACTAATGTCACCCCACATTTTGCTTATGAACATGCCGAGGGTGCACCCCCTCAGCCTGTTCTTCTATCCAGTCTATTCTATTCACTGTTCTACGATCCAGTCCTGTATGGGCCCTCAAAGAGTCTTGGTCCTGTGTCCCAGCCTCGACCTCTGGCTGTAAAACACCATCTGTTTTTACACTAGTCAAAACATCTGAGGAAGGAGGGTGAGAGCATTGTACTGTTGTTGGGACAATGATTAACTCCTCTTCTTCTTCTCTGGAGCGCTGATTCGCACGAGAACTTTCACTCCCTTGTGTGCACATGAGAGACTCTTCTGAGCGTGTGTGCACAACAAGGTTTAGAAAAAGCTCTGTTTGATTTTGGGGGAGTTTTCTCAGCTTATCCCTAGCAGCTTGATGGGGCCATTTGCTTGCCAAACATGCCCTTTCCCCGTGTGAGCGGTGGGAGAATGAGAATGCCTGTTCTCTCGCTTTCCATACAGTGAATGAGAGACATGTGCAGATGCCAGTTGGTAAATACCTTCCACGCTCAGAGCCGTGCAGCAGTTGGGGCAGCTTTAGCTGCATTTCCAGGTCAGAAGAAGCCAGGATGAAGATCCCTTTTAGACGCTGACACTAGAAGCAGAGCTGATAAAAAATAAACATCTTTTGGCTCTGGTTCTTTTTGCAGCATCCAGGTGCCTCAGTATTGCCTGACTGAAGCACACTGTAGAGATCTCACCTCTCTTCTCAGTACTGGAAAGACTCTGAGAACACTCTGTTTGGGACAAAAGTTTTCAGACTGTGCTGGATTTTACCTATTGTGCGAAGCCTTAAAGTCCCCAAACTGCAGGCTGGAAAGACTCAAGTGAGTATTTGTGGAGTGGGAAGCAAGCAAGCGAGTGCTTGCTGGGAATGGGACCCCCTGGAGTGCCCCCTGGTCCCCCAGCCTTGGTGTTGCTGAGGAGCTCACCAGCCTTGCTGGAAGGAAACAGCTGATTTGGGGACCTGCCCCAGAAGGGCTGCACTACAGGCAGGTGTGTTCTGTGAAGGCGGGGCCAGAAATTCACATACAGGAGAAATGTGGGAAGTGGAGCCCCGGAAATAAAGGGTGGGATTCAGTCCTTTTCCTCTGCAAAATAAAGGGCTCCTCCCCTTTGCTGTTGGCATTCTGTCCTCGCTTGATGAGCACTTCTGCAGGTGGGGTGAGGGAGGGGCAATGCTCAGCTATCCCTCCTCCCTCGAGAACCCCTTCCCCACTGATCCAGTCGGTTCCCAGCCCTGCGGAACGGCTTATGGGAGGCATGTGGGGCTGATGGCAGGCTGA